GGTAAGGAAGCAAAAACGGCCTTTGCATAATATCCACAGATGTTTATTTCAGCCATGAAGTGAGATGTGTAGAGTCCCAAAGCACATGTGGAGGGTCTAGGTTCCCCTCTCTCAAGCAGCCCCCAGGGTGACCCTGGTCTCAGGGCAGTACAAAGATGAGGGCAAATCAGGGAATAGGGAGGGAGTGGCTCAGGGACAGACATAGGAACAGGGGAAGGAGCCAATTTATTGGCTTTCAAGGGAAGCTTCTTGTGTTTCCCCAACCCAGGGAATGCCTCCCAGGGTCTCCACAACTCCCTGTTTCATATTATTAAGAAAGCTTCTCTAAGGATCAAGTGAATCAACACAAAATGACGAAAACAAAGAAAAACCCTCCACATATGCTTTGGGACTCTATTAAAAATCTCACTGCGTGGCTGAATTAAACATCTGTGGGTATTATGCAAAGGCCCTTTTTGCTTCCTGACCCTGGACTTTACCAGCAGCTCTTCAGGCTGCAACAGTAGGTGGCTATGCAACAATCAAACAATCAAAGCTTCAGGAAACACTGGCTCAGGTACTAGCCCAGCAGGCATAATGAATGAAGAAAACAACAAGCAGGCATAATGAATGAAAAAAAAACATAGTTGAAGATATGCCTGAAGTTACATGTAGTGAGAAAGGCTGAAGTCTTCTGCCAGCTCACTTTTGCAAGGTAGTTCACAAAAGATATTTCTCTGGGATTATGCACTTGTGGAAGATGAGAAAAAGGAGTAAGAATATTTCTCTGGGATTTTTTTCCTCATAGTGCTTCCTACTAAGGACACTGGAAATAGAAAACCTGCTCTTTTCTTAAAGAGATCTTCACAGGAACTGTCTGTGAATTACTAAGCATATAGCCTTGCCAAAAATTTAATTCTGGTTCATCTTGAATTGAGAACTGGGCCTCTCTTGGGCTGGTATTAAACACACCCTGATCCATTTTCAGCTCTGAGTGAGATGTATCTTCAGATGGCTCAGAAGGGCGAGTGCCAGGCCATGCATCACTTTTGGAGGAAATGAGCAGGTTTCTACAGGATTCTGGAGGAAAGATACTTTTTTAAATGTGTCTTACAACCTTGCTGGTGTTGTGTTCTCCCTGACTCTTCCTTCAGGCTCCCTCTGGTGGTTACAGTGTATGTTACTGCTGCCTTCTTCAGTCCCGTTTTCGGTCCTCATGTACAGCAGCTTGAGTCACACTAGTAACATTTTTTAGGTTCACATAAGGTTGAGGTGCAAATAGGAGCTTTAAAAATGATGTTTAGTTAGTGTGACTGGTTTTGGTTTGTTTTGTTTTTTGGGGTTTTTTTTCCCCTGGGCCATCATAGAGTGCTTTGAGTAGGAACGGGCCTTAAAGGCCATCTAATTCTTGAACCCCTGCCATGCCATGAGCAGGGATGTCACCCACTAGATCAGGACTAGATCAGTTTTATTACTACTACTATCGAGAGAATTGAAAATTCACTTCTCCTGAAGCCGTATATTTCTACCTGGTAAACGACAGGATGCCTGAGAGCAGCCACCAAGCAGCTTGCCTGTGCAGGCAGTCCCACTGCGGGGTCTGGCTGTGGGCCATGTGAGCAACAAGTCCTAAGCATCATCACAAATAATGCAGATGGGCTGCTGTCAGTTTATTCCAGCAGTGTTTGCTCATCTTTCCAGTCCTGGCTAGGAAAGAAAGACAACTGAAATTAGAGTATTAAGAGATGAGTTGTAGGTTTTAACTGTAAGGCCCACTTATGGATGTGACTCCTGTGAAAGCGATATCCTGAGGCCATTCTCAAACTTACAGTAATTGCATGCATAAAACCCATCCCAGAATTTCAGTTCCTCTGTGAATTCGCCTTGCTTCACACCAACAATCTGTTACATGCATTTTCTGCCATTCTGCTACAAATCCCATCCATGGGGTAAAATGCTTGGCAGCATGGAACAGTCCTGCTGAGCAGGGTGAAGGTTTTTTCTCTGTGCTGGACACTGCAGAGGTTAAATTCATGTTGGCACTTTAGTGAATTTCTCAAGTGAAATTGAAGTGTTTCCTCTCCCTTTCAAATGACAACAAAGGAGACTGTTTAAGAACGGGTCCATACATGAGATTTTCTGCCATTCTGCTACAAATCCCATCCATGGGGTAAAATGCTTGGCAGCATGGAACAGTCCTGCTGAGCAGGGTGAAGTTCTTTTCTCTATGCTGGACACTGGAGAGGTTAAATTCATGTTAGCACTTTAGTGAATTTCTCAGGTGACATTGAAGTGTTTCCTCTCCCTTTCAAATGGCAAGAAAGGAGATTGATAAGAACGGGTCCATACATGACAAGCATCCTATTCCTGCCACCTGCTTTCTGTGTTGGACAGCCACCTGTTCCTTTGGGACTGAGGCTGTCCAAAGCAGGTAGAGGGTTGCAACGTGGTGAGGTGGTGTAGGTGGGCATGGTGGTGACAAGATTGGGATGTAGCCTTTGAAGGCAGTCCAAAGATGAGGTTTGGGCCCTGTAAATTAATGGCAGTCAGAGCAAAAGGTGGGATATGGAAGTCAAAGAGAAAAAAGGCACAACTGGTCTTGTTCTACTGATTTTTTATTTTTAAAATAAATTGCTATCATGATTTTGTTCTTAAAGGCACATATTTTTGCAACAGTATTCTCCTCCCTTAAAATGCAACTGATACCAGGCCTTTGTGGAAGTTCTTAGATGGATTTCAGTGAGCTTTTTCATAGTCATTATCTTTATTATGAAAATCTGTGGCCTGAGATGTTACATATCCCAGTGTCAGCAATCCTGCTGTGCAATTCAGTGGATTATAATGCAACTCACTAACATGCTTGAAATAATGAGGTTGCTCTGTTCAGTGGGGTGCAATGAAAAATAGAAGCTACTGCTGGGAACTCAGATTTGATTTAAAATCCTGACTGAAAAGGTTCCCTATTAAAATGCCACTGCAGGTTACTAAGTTTGTATATTCATTAACTTCCATTTCATGCTGGGCAATGAGAAGACCAGAAGAAATTTTTTAGCCTTTTGCTCAGTGCGTCTAAACAGTGTGTTAAATGCCAGCCTTGCAGACTTCTGGTGCTCTTGGAAGTAAATGTTGGATTACTTGAACTAAACATAGAGAGAAACGGTGGCTGTGCTGGAATCAGTTGGAGGTCCGAGCTTTGAGTTCCATAGCACTGATCTCTCCCTGAGAGTTGAAGTTCTCACATCTGACTCTCTTTCAGGCATCTCCTACTTCTGATTATGGAATTAGAAGGAGCTGAGTGGATCCCTTCCCACTACCTGCCTATCTGGAAGTTGGGGAGAGGGTGTAGATTTCTTTTGTTTAATTATTTGCAAGCCTTTATAGTGGCCCTTCACCTACAGTCAGTCCTGTCCATCTCAGCATAATTTCTGGGCCATTTTCTTGTAGATTATTTGTATGGCCTCACAGTTTTATTTTCTCCTTAAAAGTAGAAGCTGGTTTGTCAGAAAAACAGCTCTGAGCCAATCATACTTTTGGAAAAAGAAATGTATTGAGAGAAAAAGGTGCTGGTAGAACTTCTTAGCCATTGTCTGAACCTGACTGGATCTTACAAACAGCCTGTGAGATGACGTATATCCCAAAGAACACTTTTCCTCATGGCACTTAGACCATGATATAAATGCTTATGAATCCATAAAATGTCTTAGCATGTGCATCAGGAGCCTTCAGGGTGTGAAGCAAATCAGGTGATAAATGGAAGTGCTTTGTGTACACAAAGTTGCAGAACTGGCTTTGGCTGCCATTTACCTGGATTTAATAACCTGCATAGGTCTGTGTATCACAACTGGAGCTTCATATATGTTTTGTTTGTACCATATTTCTTATGGCACTTAGACCATGATATAAATGCTTATGAATCCATAAAATGTCTTTTATGTGCATCGGGAGCCTTCAGGGTGTGAAGCAAACCAGGTGATAAATGGAAGTGCTTTGTGTACCAAGGGTGGCTTTGGCTACCATTTACCTGGATTTAATAACCTGCATAGGTCTGTGTATCACAACTGAAGCTTCATATATGTTTTGTTTGTACCACATCTCTCCTTTATAGATGCTCAGCTTTACAATTAGATGTGCAGTTTTTTTGCCAGTTGATAGGGGTGATTTAAAAGACATGGACACCAATAAAGAATGGTCTTATTTTACTACTAATACTAAGGCAACAGAGGCAAAATAATACATTAAATAAAACAATAAGCCTACTATGCACTCAGTTGATAGGGGTGATTTAAAAGACATGGACACCAATAAAGAATGGTCTTATTTTACTACTAATACTAAGGCAACACAGAGGCAAAATAATACATTAAATAAAGCAATAAGCTTACTATGCACTTGACTTCAGCAACGAACAAAACAAGCAAGATAATGCACCTAATCAGTACTGTATGAGAGAGAGAGAATAGTGGTTGAGAAAGATACATCACCAATTGCCTAAATATTTTACCATCATCCAGAACCCACAGTTCTGGTCTGTTGCAGTGGTGATTTGGAGAACTTTCCAGGGAACTGGGATGTCCTAAAAGTGTGTTCACTCCTAAGTGATGTTTCCAAAGTCACTGCAAATGGGGTTTTTATAACACACTTCCCAGCCAACAGGAACCAGGGCTTGGCCAGAGCCCAGGCCATGGTGGGGATAGGGGTTTCTTGCAAATAAACATCTGGTGATGTCAGTTGGGAAGTTTTCTTAAAATGATACATTTATTAACATGTCTTGCAGATAGTTACACACGGTCATGTGAAAGTTCCTAAAGCAGCCGGGTTCACGTTAAAGCAGGTTGGTCAGTCTGTGTGCAAGATTCTTTTGTTAAATGGCTGACATAGACAGTATCTATTACATGACTTCCAGGATTCAACTAAGTCAGCTTTGGCTCGGGCCTGTTGTTCAGCCCTGAGCTCTTCCAAAGTTTAAAGTTGCTGCACTTTAACTCGTTTAACTGCAGAGGGTCGATTTTCCCCTCTCACAGGGCCGGGGTGGAAAAGGCAGCATCTATGTCTGGGCCTCTGGAGATGGAGGCAGCTATGATGACTGTAACTGTGATGGTTATGCATCGAGCATGTGGACAATCTCCATCAATTCTGCCATAAACGATGGACGGACAGCTCTGTATGATGAAAGCTGCTCTTCAACCTTAGCCTCCACTTTTAGTAACGGGAGGAAGAGAAATCCAGAAGCTGGTGTGGTGAGTCCTGATACTATTGTGCTGCTGTTGCTGTCTTTGTGCATGATGTATGTCTATCTGCATGACCTATTGTAACTCTGTGTACTTTGGAGCAGCAGATGGTTCTTTGTTGAGATGAATATTTTCTCATTTACAGTATGTGAGGGTGCCAAAACTGTCAGCTGAGAAGATGTGGTATTTTTACTGAGAACAGCAATGATCTTCCATCTTTTAGAGCTTCAAAGGAAAGTTGGTGCTTTCCTTTATCAGAAATCCGATTACAAAGTTCCGTTTCCCTCTTTCTGGAGGACAGTGTGACAAAAGGTCTCTCTAAAAATCTAAGTTAACATCTGAGATCGTATTTACTTGTACTGGCAGACTTCTGCTGTACAAGCAGCACAGAGCAGAATGGCATTTAGTAACCCACAGAGGACATATAGGGGTTCAGATTACCAGAGCCTGCTGTTGCTGCAAGGCCATACCTACAGCTGGAAAACAGGCAGGTTCTGTTCAGTTGTATTTGGGATTCTCTTCCACTGTAGTGATCAGTGCTCTTCAGCTCTTCAGTACCTTCAGACTGGCCAGGTCTTGGTTCAGTTTACAGAGTGGAAAATGCAGGCATACTGACTCAAGGTTAGTTTTTGCAAAAAGCTGTTGTACAGTTTCCATGGCCCTGTCTCAAATCCCCAAGATGCACTGTGCAATCCTAATTGCCCACATGCAGTAGCAGACAGAGCACTAGTTTCTGTCTTCAGTCATCTGTCATCTATCTGTGATGATACTAGACAAAATTATCTGTGGCCAATCCTAAATGCCCACATGCAGTAGCAGACAGAGCACTAGTTTCTGTCTTCAGTCAGCTCTGTGATGATACCAGCCAAAATGATCTGTGGTATCTTTGTAATTATTGCCATAAAATGCATTTCTGAGTTTTTATTCTGGTCTCTGCTAGTGACTAATCTGCACAGAAGACAGCAGCCTGGTGCTGCTGCTGGTCTCAGAGTTGGACAAATGTTAAAAAGCTTAATAGTGTTAACAATTCTAGTTTCAAATCTTTTTGATAATCAGAAGAGAATTTAGGGCCTTTGGTTAAACTGTGTTGGTAAGAAATAGATGGGTTCTAAGTGATAATGACCACTGGTTTACTACCTGATGACTTGCTCTTTCATTTATGCTCTGAATGTGTCTCACCATGGTTTTAAATTGATACACCCTTCCAAAAAAGAGAACAGATCGTGGGCAGGAACACAATTAATGAGCAAGGGCACAAACTCCACTTTCTGTATTTTTTTCTGAGTCTGTAGCTGGAACAAAAACGGGATATCTGGTTTCATTAATTGCATCTAATATCATTGCAGGCTACAACAGATTTGTATGGCAACTGCACCCTGCGTCATTCAGGCACGTCTGCAGCTGCCCCTGAAGCGGCCGGAGTGTTTGCCCTGGCCCTGGAGGCTAAGTATGCTGTTGAGAAATTCCTCATGAGCTCTAGGGAGGGGAGGGCCTGTGGTTTGTTGAATGGTGTTCATCATTTCAGTGCAGGCTGTGGCACAGGGCTGCAATAACCAGCTCTAAAGCCACCTCTTACAGTAGTGACGTGCACGGTGACTTGCAGATGGAGCAACAGCCTTGCCAAAGTTGCATGGCAGATGTATTTTGGCTCTCTGGCTCTCTCTGTGTCCTCCCCATCCTCTGCATATGGGGATTAGACATCTCTAGCACTGTTTGGAGGAGGAGATTATTTAATTTCTCCACATGTCCTCTGTGAAACGCCCAGCCTACAGAAATGTAGGAATGACCCTGTAATATCAGACATGAGTTCATCTTGTGCCAGGATACTGTCTGCAATGACAGATGCTTAGGAAGAGGACAAGAAATGGGGATTAAGAGTGATCTTTCAACAAGAGCTTTGTTGCTCCATGATTTGTAGAGACAGCAGTGGGTCTCTTCTGTTTAATAGCCACAGGCAGATTGATCTTCCTTAAAGTTGTCTAACTCTTTTTCAGATTGTCTGTATTTGGCACCTAGGTCATCCAGTAACAATCAGTTCCTCAATATTTTTTGGCAATGGTGGTGTGGAATGTTTTCTTTGTTTTCTTAACCCATTACTGGTAGCTTGCTGTGTAATTGCTTTGTTATATGAAGGAATAAATATCCATTGTCTGTTTACCATCTTAATGGCATTCCTGACACTGGAACCTTTTTTATCTCTTGAAATCATTCATCTTTTTCTCTATTGATTAGGAAAAGTTTTCCTTTCAATAACTTACACCACCTTTTTACTTTATGTTATTTTTTTTTCATTAACTGAGGCAACATTTGCTTAGATACAGAGCTTCAGTTGCTGTAACCACGGCATGAAGTGAGTACTATGTGCATAGTTTCCTTCAACAGTTCAGAATAATGAAGATTTGTCAGAGGAGGCCAAGTTTACATTAGCAGAGCAATAGCTGTCTTGCTCAGAACATGGCTTGGTCCAAGTCTCATTTTTCAGGTTGTATACATGTAAAACACATGCCAAATGTTTAGCTTTGTATGATCATTCCTTCTACTATCAAATTCATTCAGTGGGACAGCCACTATATAAAATATTAATATGGCCATAAAAATGTAAATGTTTAATGAATTTTCTGACCACTGAATGTTTAAACTGGACTGGAACCTAAATATTTCAGACATAATTATCATTCTTCTTCATTTGAGCTCCCCATAAATCCCATTATAATGAACAGGAATTAGACTTAATACCCCTGGCTTGCACTAGAATTTCTAGGCTTTGCTGAGAAGGCAGTAGGAGAGAGAAGGAGCTGTCAGTGTCTCCCATATCCTTCTGGCTGTATTGAATTGTATTGTGCAGAACTGTTCTGGACAAGCCTTGCCAGGGATCACTGACAATCTCCCATGAAGCCTGTTCTTGCCTGCATTATGTCTGTCAGCTCACACACAATATAGGACTGATATGTCTCTCAAATCAGACGACAAGTCTTGCCAGGGATCACTGACAATCTCCCATGAAGCCTGTTCTTGCCTGCATTATGTCAGCTCCTGAGCAATATAGGACTGATATGTCTCTCAAATCAGACCAATCCATGAAATAGAAAGTAGAGCTTTAAGATATGTAGCAAGCTCTTAAAAGATCTCAATAGGAATGATGCAAGTGATATCTTCTTTTCAGCTGTCTTGTGCCACCTTGGGGGAATGACAGTAATTGGCTATTCTGGTGCACATTCAGCACGCACACATGCTTATTACTTGGGGCACAGAAAGCTGAAAAGCACATCCTTTTAGGCTGATGGTTTGAATCAGACATATTGTGATGTTGAAAGAGTTCATCATAAAACTACTGGAATAGCTTTAGTTATGTAGAATTAGAATGTCAGTTCTAAAGCTTTTTAGAATAACAAGTGCCCTTCCTGTTTTCATAATCACTGTATATCTAGGAAGACAGGCGATGATGAAAAATAACCATTTCAGCTAGGGAAATGTTACTTGACTGCATCCATCCATTCTAACACAACATGGGTGAAAAACCTCTGCCATACCTTATACTGCAAAGCTGCAGCCACCCATGGCCCATATATCCATGGTCACAGAATCCTGACATTACTAAGACCTGGATCGTGAGAGCTCAGCAGCTCCATCAGATTAGGGCTTCTGAGGGTGGATCCTGGAAGGTCCATGGGAACAGCAGGAGGAGCAGGCAAGAAATAGGAGGCAAGATATAAGAGGAAAACCAGGTGACATTTTTTTATAAACCTTGAATTTTTTGCATTTTTCTCAGGATCTGGTATAATATCTTACTCATTTTATTAGTTTAAAAATTGCATGTGGAATCTATAATGTCTAGTTAAAAGAAGTTTTTAGTAAGAAGTGGTTTTGCAATTTTGGAAAACATACTCGGAAAAGTATATATGCTATATACTTCAAACCTATTCTTATTCCCACTGAGATCAATAGAAGAATTGCTACTGATATGTGTGTAGTTACAATTCCAGTGTTACTCATAGAAGCAAACTTCACCCAACGCCTTACTCAAGCACAGTTTTTCTTTAATATCTGCTTGGAAATAGTGTAATGTTTGTTTCGTATGTTGCTCTTCCACAGCTTGCATCTGACATGGAGAGACATGCAACACCTGACAGTGCTCACCTCCAAGAGAAACCAGCTTCATGATGAGGTTCACAGGTGGCGTAGGAACGGCGTGGGGCTGGAGTTCAACCACTTGTTTGGCTATGGTGTCCTAGATGCAGGAGCCATGGTTAAGATGGCAAAAGACTGGAAGACTGTTCCTGAGAGATTCCATTGTGTTGGAGGGTCAATACAGGAACCTGAGTAAGTCTGAATAGTGTGGTGGGTGTGTTTAGCTTCTTCCAGGCATCTGGGAGACTGCAAACATACAATTATGTTGACAAAGACAGTTAAAGAAACTTAATGAGGATTTTACCTCATTGCCAGTAATAAGTTGATAAAACATTTTTTTTATCAACAATGCTTGATGAAACTGCATGATCTTTCAGTTCCTGACCTGCTGGGGCAGTAAATTCTATAGCCCATCTTATATGCTAGTGCCAGTAGTGTTAATAGCAACATCCATTTCTCCTGCGCACTCACAGGTATGTTTGTGCTAAAGTTTCTGTGAATAAAGAGCCTATCCCCAAATGAAAATCTGGGAGATGGGCACTGTAAATTACATAAACTGTTACCACATGAAATATCTATCAGCCAGGTCATATCTCATTGTGAGATTCTTCAGCAGACAATTATATCTCCAGAAGACTGAAACAATCATCTACAGGTGCCAGCACTGAGCACTACAGCATTCAACTGTGCTTGCTTTAAGCTCTTCAGTTCTCTAATTTCAGGGTAGGTAGTCAGGTTATTTTCTGATTTACCTTTATGTGCTAAAGTGAATGAGTCAACAAATGAATGAATGAATACTAATTGACTACAATAGCTTTAGTTTAATTTAAGTAATTGAAATACTAACTTAATAATGGCCTAAATTATATCTATACAATTTGAAATTTGACTTTTCAGTGCCTTTTTTGAAGGGAACGTTATTCTTTTGGGAAAAGAAAACAAATCAGGATGCTACCATAGCACATAGCTTGCAAATTGAATTTGCATGATTCAAGGTTCTACAGCGGAGCTCTAATTTATCTGTCTTATGCATACTCACAGGTACAAAACAAATGAGAATACCAAATCTAGTTTTAGGATATCTCTAGTATATTAATAATTAAATGCACAATAATCTCATTTATCTTAGGGCACTGAAATGGGGATCATCCTAGAGGAGGAGAGAACATTATTTCTGGAGGCTGTAAGGGATGCCTGACACATTTGTCAATTGCCTGACACATCTATATATTAACAGCACTGCTGTAATATTTGTGTTCCCCAATGAAAATGTCACTGACAGGAGATGATAAGCATTATGAAGTGTAACATGTAAATTTTTTGAATTGCACTGTAAAAAAAATTGCTAGCTAAGTCCCAGCATCTCCAGAGATTCTTTGGAAATGAAAACTCTGCATTTCTGCTGTGGATAAGTGGGTTATTCTTTCAGTTTGGTTTGCTGAAGCAACATTTTATGTATTTAAATATAGATATTTCTATACATAACTTATGTATTTGGTATAGATTTATGAAGGTGAGTAGTTGATATGGAGGTGTGTTTCAGAGCAGCATTGTCAATTAAGCAAAAGGCCAGGAAATAATTAACTGACATAATATACCGTGTCCTGAAAACAATCAGTATTTAAAATAGAAACATTTGTTAGCAACAGGAAATTTTCCTGACAAGGGTTCTGGCTGGTTTAGGGAAATACAAAGTTTTCAGACAATGTAGTCCATTAACTGAGGAATAGGAGCACACAGGAGCTCCCTCTGCTCATCTCCCACTAGGTACTACACAAAAGTGGATGTACTATATATAATCTCCCACTGGCTACTAGGCCATGGACATACTATATACATTTGTATATATTTATACACACACAAGTTGGGTAGTGGCACGTGATAAGGCTGTGGAAAATCTACTTTCTCTTCTTCATCTTTGTGTCAGGCTTTTTCCACTAACCCTGGTTCTTTCTGTTTTTTTAGGAAAATTTCACCTAGACTACAATAATTACCCTAGTGAAGCAGAGACTATTCAATCCTAGTTAATAGGAAAGGGAAATAGAGGAAGCCTTTGCTTGTGTTTTTAGAGAGCTGAGAAAACTTTTGCACTGCAGTACTTGAGAAGGTGGAGAGAAAAGCTTTTTGCAGCTGTCAAGCCTTCTGCAGAGCAGATGTAGTGGGAACACATTGGTCTTGTTTCTTTGGGCTTTAGTCTGGACAGGAAGAAAATACTCATACAGTGATGTCCCTCCTCATTAACTGAAGGAGATAAAACGCTTGTCACATCTCTGGGAATGAAGCAGTGTTTGACAAAGCTTTGTCCACTGTGTGAAAATGTTGTGAGACAACATGAATTCAGATTGAGTTGAGAGTGAGGCTTCCCATGCAGACAAACTGCAAGCACATGGCAAGTATGAAATTACAGTCCTTCACCTCTGTCTGCATGTAGTGCATTTTTCTTGTGCTTTGGCATGTAAAGTAAGTATCTCAAGGGTAGATGCTCAAATGTTTTAGCTATACAATATTCATGTTATGCCAACTTCTGCTCCATAATACTCAGATCAACACAGGTCTCTGTCTGCATGTAGTGCATTTTTCTTGTGCTTTGGCATGTAAAATAAGTATCTCAAGGGTATTATATTAGATGCTCAAATGTTTTAGCTATACAGTATTCATGTTATGCCAACTTATGCTCCATAATACTCAGATCAACGCAGGATTTTCAGTTTAAGGTAAATGCCTTGAGGATCTCAATCTAAATGATGTTTTGCTCTGCAAGTACTTCCAAGAAGGTAATGCTCTACGGAAAGAGGGCAGAGACTGGCCTGAGCCACTTAGTGATGTACCAAGTGTAATATCTGGAGCTCATCTCAAGAAGAAAAGAATTCCTGGAAGCTAGGCTTGACTGAAATGCTTTCACTGGTCTCCAAACAATGTGGTATTTCATTAGCAGAGGGAAAAAGCTGGTACTGATTTCTTTTGAAAAGAAGGTATTCATTACCACAGTGTAGTCAATGCCCTTCAAAAGATTTGAATTTGCACAACTAAGGTCAGGGAGAAGCCACTGGAAGACAAGATAATGACAAGGTGACTGGAGTCTTTTGTGACTTGGTCCCTTTTGTAATGATTGCTGTAATTCTTGTCTTTCAATTATTTCTTTTAGACAGAGGAAAATGTCACACTGCTCAAAGAACACTGATGGTGAAGATGTAGAGCATTTTTACACTTTCCATGTATTTTGCCAGCCAGTTTCTGAGGCACTGGGTAATTGAAGTTGCATCCTGACCCCAAGAGGTTTAGAAGGTACTTTACAGCCTCAGCTCCTGGGCCAGACAGCACTTTGGTAACTCGCTAAACATGTGCAGCTTCTCTCCTTGGTGCATGTACTGATGTACGGGAGGTGTTCAAGGATGGAAATCTTTATGGAAAACTATTTTTCAAATGAGCCAACTCCAGCATCCCACGTTTGTGCTGGTTTCCAAAGCAGAGCAAGGACATAGGCTTTCATGTCACTGCACGGAAATTCTGTGCAATTGGTTCCTCCAACACCTGAGAGCCATTTGCTGCTGTCATTTAAGGAAACTGACATGACTGACTACTCATGGTTCTTTTACTGAGTATGCACATTATTATGCAACTACCCAATATAGTAGTGATAGGTAAAGACAACCATTAATGTTAGTCCTTAAAGAGCAATATGTGCTTCTAAACTTGTATTACTTCTCTCTTTGTGTAGGTGTACATTTTATAATTATTTTCAAATTAAGGTTTTGGTATCATTTTCTTAAAGGGGAACATTTGCTTTCCAGCTAAGTTGGCAACTATTATTTCCTTACTTCTTCATGTATTAATAAGGAAAATCATACGGTGTTTTTCTGTGAGGCACTAAAACCCAGTAGTTTTAGCATAAGCCATATTGTACTGTTCTAATTTGCTTAATTATCTTTTGACCCACAGAAAGATACCACCAAGTGGCAAACTATTCCTCACACTGACAACCGATGCCTGTGAGGGGAAGGAGAACTTTGTCCGGTACCTTGAACACGTGCAGGCAGTTATAACGGTGAATTCCACTCGGAGAGGAGACCTCAACATCAACATGACCTCACCGATGGGAACAAAGTCCATTCTGCTGAGCCGGCGCCCCAGGGATGACGACTCCAAGGTGGGTTTTGACAAATGGCCTTTCATGACGACTCACACTTGGGGAGAAGACCCCCGAGGCACCTGGGCCCTGGAGATTGGGTTTGTTGGCAGCCAGCCCCAGCGGGGTGTGCTGAAGGAGTGGACACTGATGCTGCATGGGACTCAGAGTGCACCGTATATAGACCAAATCGTAAAAGATTATCAGTCCAAGCTGGCCATGTCCAAGAAGGAAGAGCTGGAAGAAGAGTTAGATGAAGCAGTGGAGAGAAGCCTGAAGAGTATACTGAGCAAGAAGTAGTGCTGTGTTGCATGACAGTGTCTTTCCTTCCCCAGACCCCTCTACTCACCATTCTACTATCCAAACCTCTGTGTTAGACGTATTACAATGATTGTCTCTGTAGACAAATTATCACCCTTTCTTGATTCCAAAGTCTTCTATCTCGTCAATAATTATTTTAATTGCCACTGAAGCAATCCATTTTTTATCTCTAAACCACAAAATATAATCCCACCAAATACTATGTACAGTTTGTGACTGTAAATGATGATTTTTCTTTTGTGTCATACAAATAGGTAATAACCTGCAAAGAAGTTAAAGGCTTTTCCCTTCATATTTCTGTGGTAAATGTTTGTATTAAAAAAAGAGTGAATTTTAACACTGGAAGTTGGTGATAATTGAGCACATTTTAAAAAATGACTGAGAGAGAGGGAATCACAAAGAGGTTGTCTGGAGAGGTCTTTGAACATGCTCCTTCTGCATCACTGACTTCAGTGGGACTTCCTCCATTGGGTTTAACCAAAGTACCACTAGACCCCCACAAAAAGAAATAATCCAGAGATAAGGAAAATTCACCAATCTGATTGGCAGAAATCCAATTGTTTTGAGAGTTTTATTTCATACTACAGTTACACTACATGCACACTTCAGCTACAGGATGGATCAACAGATATGCAATAAGGAAGGCAAAGCGATGCCAAAGCTGGGTGGCAGGGAGAAGTGATTTGCAAACCGGGTCGGGGCCTCTTAGAAGCACAAGTCCCAGTTTTGCTGGAGTTTTTTTTAGTTTGGTTGTTTGGGGGATTCTTTTCCTGTGTTGTTGTTTTTTGGGTTTGTTTCTTTAAATTATTATTTGTAATTTTGGCAATTTAAATCAATTTATCATCTTACAGCAGAACAAGCACATAGGGATTAGCCGTAGGATTTCTGGCAGCTTGTGTGCATCTGCTGGTCTCTCTGCTGAGATGTTCTCCAGCACTATAAAATGAGGCTGTGTCAGCATTACCAACCACAGATACCCATTTTCTGGGGTTTATAACCCAGCTGCCAGTAAACTGCTGTGGGGAAAATTTGAAGCACACAGTTTCAGTCCCAAAGCAATTTTTAATTTAAATTTCTTTTTTTTAAGCTATATATTTGCTGGTATTATGTTATACAGATATATTTAAGGAGAAAAATATGCTGAAGTTATTAAAGTGTAATGCAATGTTGGCCTTCTTGAGAAATAAAATGTAGTATATTTGGGAAGATTTGTTGGCAGTCATTGTTTTTTCTGTTTAAAGTCAGTCCCATCTTGACTTTTTGGACATGAGTTAAAGTCCATTTCTCTCACCCTCAAGAGTGTGCTCTGGCTATTGCTGCAAAAGATAAAATTCTCCCTGTTGGGAATTACTGATGGAAGCAACCACTACATGTTCTCAGGTGTGAGATCCCAAATTTAACCTTTGAGAAATAAAGGGTGTTCATTCTGCAAATATCTAGGCACTTGCACTAAAGCCCATCATAGACCTACTCAAATGGTAATTTTAAGCAGGTATTTCAGATCTTTGCCAGACCCAAGATCTACATTTTAGCAGTGACTAGTTTCAGAGTTTTATTATGTATTTTTAATATGCAGAGTATGAATCTAAGATGTTTTAATAAGAGTTGTCCTGGTTGATCCGGTGCATAGTAGTAGAAACACATTTAGTAAGTAAATATTTATCTAACAAATTAAAAACTTAACCCAAAGGTTCTGTGGTGGCCGTGTTTCACTTAAGAATGTATGAGAATAATGTTAATTCAAGAGACTATCCATCTTTTATTTTTCCGTAAGAGGCCTGTTCTTTCCTTTTCCAAATGAAAAATAAACAGCTCAACCTACTCAAAGTCTATGTGAATTACACTCTAAAGCCAAGCCAAGCAGCCTCACGCTACTCACAGGTTTCTCATTGTGTGCAGCAGTCCCATCAGAAAAATTTACCATATATATATATATTTATGCACACACCTGTGGTATCACTCTCTGTGTGTTTTATATTTATATATATATATTTATATATATATATTTTTATATATATATATATATATATATATGTAAAACATAAAATATATATATTCAGAGAACATTACGTATATCTGCATATAAATATGTCTAGAATTACATACGGTATGTAAGATGTAATACACATACATCATAACTTTTTGTGTGTATGTGACCAAAGAAAGAGGTTACTGAAAGTTTTTACTAGACTTCTAAAATTTGGAAAAGTTTTGGAATAAGAAAAGTCCATGTGGAACTCTAAATGAACATGTACATGACTTTCCATTTCATTCATGTAATTTTGCAGTTGTCTGTTAAATTATTAAATATCTTATAAAGCAGCAAAATAACTAGATGGCTGTCCATATTTTCATAATGCTGACATAATTTAGTAACTGAAAAATCACAACAATGAGTGATATACAGAAATGGTGAATTTTTATATAATTATATATATAAAACTACATTTATATACCATATAGAGATCTACTTCAAATTCTTGGGAATTTTTGCTTCAAGGGATCACTGAAAAATATGTCCGTTAGACTGAGTTTTTATGGTATTGCTGATGAAAAAGAAAGTTCATTTTTTAGTATTTATAATAAAAGGGAAAATTAAGCTCATGATGCAAAATAGGTGAGCCTTGTGATGATGTTTTATAATATCAGTAAAATAAAGAGCTGTTATAAACTGGCAGGTCCTATCATCATTGCTTATCTGAAGGTAAATGGGAGGTAAAATGCTGCTCTCAGTGTGATGGCTTCCTACTTCTCTGCTTTTTACACTGGTAAAGAAATTTGTATCCTGCATATACTGGATATGGAGAAGATAAAGAGTTGATAGCAGCAGATTATGAATAAAGTGTTTTATGTTAGCTGTGAAACTCTGTCACATACAAGATTCACGCCAAGGCTGGGAGGAGCTTTTTAAAATTTACATGGCATTATTTTCATGGTTCAAACCCATTGGCTCCAAGGTCAGCTCTGCAAAGGCAGCAGCAGGGCAGGTGCTGAGCTGCATTGGGAGGAGGAGGAGGAGGATCAGGAATAAAGACTGGCAGTTTTGCACTTCAGCTGATAAGCAGCTCTGCTCCCAAGGAAATGCTGCTGCAGATTTTTTTTTCCTCTGATGTTTCTTTGATTCACATTAAACCCCCTGTTTCCCTTTTCATCTCTACTTCCACCCCATAATGTTTGGGTACTTTTTATCTCCTGTGTTCCCATGGCAGAAAGTGTATTTCATTTTATAATACTCTGTCATGTCTGGAGCAGTAAAATCCGGCAGGGAACCTCCTGATCTAGTTGTGGTTGCCACAGAAGTGAGAATGCACCTGTAGAAACCTGAGTCTCATTCCAGTCTCTTGTTGAATAGATGCTTGCAACTATTTCACCATTAAACTTTAGCATTTAAACACTTCATTGAGGATCTGCATTTAATGTAGAAGTTAGCCCCTAAAATTACAAGATTTACTGTACACTTCAGCATGGTCACTATTACCATATAGTGACTACTATACTTCCAGTAGTTTTCTATATAAGTTTCTTACAAATATACAGAAAGTTTACAGATTGTAGCAGAATTTAGCCCTCACCTCTTCTTAGTCCTTGACTTCTGCTGTTTGCTGCCCAGGCAATGCAGTATGTGATTTCCCTCGGCAGTAAGTGCCATCAAACAAGATTTAGGAGCAGTTCTTAAATCACACTGAAATGCTGAGCAAGGGTTACAGCCATCATAAACCAGGTCTGGGTTAGCAGCCCCTGGTGACACCACAGCACAAAAAGGATTAAGGTGGTGGACGTATTCACACACTGGACACCTCACCCAGGCTGTCCTGACATTGCCTCCTTGCCATTGAATGTATTGCAGTGAAATCAGATGGGCTGGAAGAGGGGGAAAAATACCCAGTTCCATCCAGCTACTGCCTGCCTGAACCTGTCTATACTCTGCTTTGTGACAGAATTATTAAACAGCCTGCCTATTGCTGCAATGAGGGTAGGTTTGGGGGGTTTTGTTTTGTTTACCTTGCAGCAGTCAAATTCTTTCAGCAGCAATTATTCTGGGCAGTTGCTACCAGGTCACCAGAGCCCAGCCTGCATAGGCATTGATAAATTCCTTCTCTGCAGTTATTTATACTGTTAATATATTAAACTGAAAAGCAACACGCTCTAGTAAGCCATGTCTGGAGTAAACTCCCACAGCATTCCAATAAACCAGCATCAACAAAAAGTCCTGACTAAAATTGTGACTGTGAGAGTCACCTGTCCCTGTTTCAAAGATGCCACTTTACCAGGCCTAACAATCACAGTAGATCAGATGCTACACCTGTGCTGGACCTCATGAATGAAATAACCCCACATATTATTGAAGGAAAGCCTTGGGTGCTGTGAGGAATTTCTTGATCTCAGACTTGTCAACTCAAATGGCTTTTAACCTTGCTTTGCTGCAGCTGACAGGAGTTAACAGGTAAAAAGAAAAGGCACAACAATGCTGGAAGCTGAAATGAAAACAGAGAACTGGCTTTGGATTGAACAAGAAATGTATAGAGACTAATCTAGTACCACCCTTCAGTAAGTCTTGGGCTTTAGTGGGATCATTTGTGTGCCTGGAGTCAAGCTGAGGCCTAACCGGTGTATGAGCACTTTAAGTAGAGCTCACTATTTATGCACATACAAGCAAAATATTTCCTTTCCCTGATTTTTTCTTTGTGTTTTTTTTTGTTTGTTTTCTTGAGCGGAAAGTTTCTGGGGCTGCAAGACTCTGTTGTTGCTGCAAGTGTTGCTTTTTGCTTCCCCAGGCATGGGGAGCTAGAAAGGTGCTTCTTATTCCAGCAATCCTGTGGAGGACAATTGACTGCAGGTGACAGGAGTGAGACAGGATCCTGTGGCAGTATGAAACTCTACAGTCCAAGGAAGTTCTTTAAATACCTAAATACTCAGTCTATCACTGCAGTCAGCTCAAAAGCTCGTTGGCATTCATAAGTACATTAGTTGTGTTGGTGAAGGACAAACAGTAGATTTTGTAAGGGAGATCTCCCTTCAGGGAATTTTATTCTAAGAGCAGTAAGAGCTTATCTTGAATACAGGAAGTTTGTCTTTATTGCCAAAAAGAAAGGTCTGCTAAGCTCATTGCTATTTAAAGACTCTAAAAGGGAGAGACTTGGAACAGGTTATTTAAGAGGTATCCAGCCCTTTCCCTGGGAAACCTCCTGCACACCAGTCAGGTGATATTTACAAGTAGGTCTGTGAGTCCATGTTGTAGGCAAAATAAACCCACAGCGAGTATCTTTGGTAGAAGGCAAAACTTTTATTAAATGAACCAGATGTCACAAGTTAACATTTGCAGCTGTGTCAAAGATGGGGGGTTGTACGGCAGTTAAAGGAGCAGTAGAGGAATATGCAAATTTGTCCCGGATACTGTGGAAAGCCAGGCAGCTCTGTCATAATAATTTCTTCCCATGTGTCCTAATCATGAAAATCAGTTGTATAGGATGTGCCCTGGAGAACACTAATGGTTGTTGCACCAAAGGTGAGCCTACATCAGACAGAATTGCCATCAAGGTTTCAATCTGTTCCATACCAAACAGCAAAAATTTCACTACTGTATCATTCGGTCAGGAAAAAAACACAGTAATTTAATAACTATGCCAGACAAATCGACTATCAGAGGGTATGTGTCACTTAAGAGCCTTTGTCACCTGGTTTCTTCTTGCTTGTCTTCTCTATCATTGTCTCAACAATCATTGCCGTCTCTTCATACGTCTGAATTTTGTCATCTGAAAACTTCTCAATGGACTCCACCACCTCCACCTTCTCATAGCTCATCGAGCCAGGTAAGGCTGCTTCCCTGAACAAAAGGCCCTGCTTATCTTCTCGCTCATATTCTGTCTCTCGAAGGAGTCCTGGCTCAGTTGGGCTTATCAGACCAGAGGAAGTAACTGTCTCAGGCTCAGAGATCTCCGGGTACTTTGTGATTTGCTCAATTTTTCCTCTTGCTTTTTTCCCCCATTCAAGTACATCTTCTTTCCCCTCCTCTCTCTGTTTATCTGGGAGTTCAAACTCTTCTCTCCTTTCACAGATTTCCCCTTTCTCTTTTTCTGGTGGTTCGGCAGGTTCTGGCAGCTCTGGTATGGGCTCCACATCACCACCATTCATCACCTTCCCATTGCCAGTGGAAACTGTGATCCCTCCCGCAGCAGGGATACAGGGGGCCAAGATGCAAGGTTCTTGA